GATAAAGAAAGGCAACTGGATCGAGAAAGGAAGTGTTAAACCCAGTAAAAGGTCTAGACAAGTTTGGAATGGGGTGAGAAGAAATCAGCAATATAATATTTTATGATCTTTCTTTGATATTTGTGAAAGTCCACTGAAGAGCATATGAGTGTGTGATTTAATTAATCCTGAGATGTTGTTCTTTATGAGAATGCATTAGAAATAATGTGTATTTAGGTTTGCTAAAACCTGAAAGTATCTATCATTTTCAATTAATGATTGTTTCCAGGATATACAAAGTCATTGAAAGTCTAGGACAAATTATATTGAACTCTGTCCCCAAATTGCAGGTATTACTTTTTGAAGCTCTTAATAGCTAATAATAATAGCTACTATTAATGAAATGTTTTATCAGGTTCCAGAGATTTTGCTAAGCACTTTAAAAGTCTTAATTCATTTGATTCTTACAAGTGTATAAAAGAAGTACTATTTATTTCCAATTTATGTATGAAGAAACTGAAAATTTTAGACTTGTTACAATCTGACATTCTTTATTTTAGGTATTTTTACATTAATTACATCAAATGGCCCTTACTATTATATTATGATTTATTACTATTAGGTGAGTTTTACAAGTAAGGATACACAGGCATAAAGAGAACAGTAACTAGTCCTGGGTCATATAGAAACTGAGCTTTTGCTAGAGTTCAAGCCCAGACATTCTGAGTCAAGTGCTTGTTCTCTGAATTCCTCTGTTTTACTGATTCAGACAGTCAAATACTTGGGACAGATGAGCTCTGTACTTGGTTCTGACTTGTTGGTGCAGTCCGTTAACACCATTTTAGCCCTGTATTAGCTTTACTAAACCATTTCTTCAACCTATATTTTTGTGGAATAAGCTTTAAAAGTCTTCCTATAGTATCTGGCCTTTTGCTTTTCACAAGCTAAAACATGTTGATGATCTCTTTACATTCCTGCCTGCCAGGCAGCTTTTATACAGGAAATAGTACCTATGGCTTTCCTTTGGAGGTGTTTCTCATCATTTTTGGGGCCAGGCCTGTGACCATTTAGAGGAGTTCTTACAGAGAAACCACATGGTGCAGATGTCGGTAAGGGGTCATCAATCCTGCCTCCATGGCTGTGGAGCTATTTATTCAGCGTTTCCTTCATTTCAGCTTCTGTTCTTATTGGAGTAAAAAGATTTACTTTCAAATACTTAAAATTTTCACATTTTATTTCAGCCCTTAAAACTAACAGTTTCATAATCAGTGAATTAATTCTTTCAAGGGAGAGAGACAGATACGGAGGATTTCTATACAATTATCAAAGTGATACATAAATTCCCCTGTGGTAAAAGAAGATTATCCATATATCTAAAATAAGTAATGTTATATACTTTGTGTTGATCACTTAATTAATGAATTTTTTTAAGAAAAAATTTTGTTTTACAAATAAGCTTATAAGGTTTATTATTCCTTTGTTTCTTACAATCTGTAATTTAAAAAGAAAACTTTTTTCAGATCATTGTAATCTTGTTCATTTAATTGCCTACATACTGACTCTTATGTCCATGCTCTCTTCCTTCGAGTATTTGAAACACATAAAATTCATGTCATTTCATTTACCTCCAAGTCTTGCTCTGATAGAAATGTCTGGTGCTTCTCTGGAATTCCATCTCCTGTTCTGTTGCAGTTCTTCTGATAGAATTTTTTGCCTTTTTATTGTTGTTTGAAATCCTGTATCTGGTCTGGGAACTCGATGTTGAGGTTTCACATCACTAAAATCCACTAGGGTTGGTATGGTTCTGCCAATGCCAGGATTTAAATCAGCATCACCACCAGGACTCATAAACCCTGAACAGGAATCACCTAAGGTCACATCATCCCGAAGTGGAAATAATGGATAACGTGGCCCATATGGTGGAGGATAAGGGTAATGTAAATGATAGTCTGGCAAGACTGAAGGGGGATAAGGGTGAAATTTAAGAAAAGCAGGGTTGCATTTATTTTCAAATCTGCCATAGTTATGTCTGTTCTCAAGACCTTTCACAAAAGGCATGTTCATTTTTCTTAAGAGATCACAATAGTGTGGGTAATCTATATTCTCAACAGTTCCTGAAAGGATGGACCTTTTAGAGATACTTATCTTTCCAGGTGTGTTCTGAATCTCTACATCCATGGCCTTTCTCTTTAGAGTTTTTGGTTACTATAAAGTAAGTATTTCTGATAATTCTTTTAACTATACAAACTCTATTTCCAATAACTAAAGATCTGAGTTAAACTAGTACAAAATTGACTCAGCTTTCTAAATGTTAGCAGATAATTTTGTTTTCCTTTTTAAAGTAAACCTTTTCCTCCACCAAAGGAAGAATAGGGCAATGAAGGAACAGGACAGAAGGAGAAAAAAGCAGAGTCCTTGTTGCTTGGCAACAACTAGAACTCTTAACACATTGAACCATTTATTATGTACATCATAATTTAATTTGTAAGAAAACAAAAAATAGCCTTGGCACTAATACTTCCATGATACTTTTCTCCCCAGTGCTCAGGAAAGCTGTGTTCACTTATTTTAAAAATTTTCCATAAGTTAGTATTTTATGGATATAAAATTTAAGGAGTGTAAATAAAGCAGAGAATTCAGTGACAATATATTTTCCAAAAGTATATATGTGACTACAATTAAGTATTTATAGATATAACCCTTGCTGTCTAAATAAATGTAAATCTAAATGCACTGTACAATATAAACATGTATTACACTAAAGTCAAATTGATATATCTAATTTTTAAGAGGAACAGAAAATTATAGTGAAAGTACAGGTACATCTTTTACATGTCCTAAATTACCTTTACTTCCCTTAAATTTACCATGGTGTCCAGAGTAAGAATAGTAAGTGTTTTAAACTCATTTTAGGGAACCGCAATAGGGTATCAGCTGTCTACACACAAAATATCATTTAAATCACCTAATACACTGGTTCACTTAAAAGCTCGTTTACCTGGATAATTTCATCTTGAATGAGCTTCTATTAGGGGAAATCTGAATATTAGAATTTGGGGTAAAAGGTCACATCATCCTTACTGCAGTGAATATGTTAAAAGAGGCAAGATTCTAGCTTTGAAGAGTCAGGCACTTAATTGTTAATCAGGCCAACTGTCAAGGGTGATGATATCTTTGGTATCATCAGAATGCCTATACCCCACTGAAAGTCTTTAAAATTTTGAGATATACTATTAAACAAGTGGGGAGATTAAATTAGGTGGTTAGCCTGTCAGTTTGAAATCCCTCATCCAGATCATAGCATATCAAGTGACAGTTTTTAGCTTACCCATTATAACTCATTTCTTCATATCAAAAGTGATAACTCATTTGTAATTAAGCATTCTATATTTAGTTGCACAAACTTCATTCTTCAATGTATTTGCACCAACTGCTTAAGATTTATTTCTATCACAGCTCTGCTCCCATTAAACCCATTAAGTAAATCCTTCCAGCAGCAGAAAAGCAGAGGCAGGTGTCTCTTTCAATTCCTCTAAAACAAATTTTTGCTATAAATGGCCTCTTAGGTTGTGTATGGGACAATAATAATCCCCATAAGTTTGTACTTAGAATAGATCCTTTACGAGAGACTGATTAACAAGAGAAAAACGTAAGCTTATTAATATATTTCATTTATATATGAGGAACACCCAGAGAATGAGAAGTTCTCAAAGAAATGTCCTTGAATTCCAGCTTGTATAGCATCTTCAACAAAGACTAGGAAATTTTTAGAGATGTGAGAAAGGAAAAGGACTTTGAGTCTCTACAGGCAGCAACTTGGACTAAGCAAAGAAATCACAGGCAAAAAAAAAGTTGGCTGGGCGCAATGGCTCACGCCTGTAATCCCAGCATTTTGTAAGGCCAAGGTGGGTAGATCATGAGGTTAGGAGTTCAAGACCAGCCTGGCCAAGATGGTGAAACCCCGTCTCTACTAAAAATACAAAAATTAACTGAGCGTGGTGGTGGGCACCTGTAATCCCAACTACTCCGGAGGCTGAGGCAGAGAATCACTTGAACCTGGGAGACAGAGTTGCAGTGAGCCGAGATTGTGCCTCTGCACTCTAGTCTGGGCGACAAAGTGAGACTCCGTTTCAAAGAAAAAAAAAAAGCTATTATTAATTCCTCTGATATCATTTCATGGCTATTGAGGGTCTGAAGCTGTCTTCAGTGGTTAACCTTTGTTTTCCCTGATAAAGAAGCAGGGCAGGATAACTTTTGTCTTTCTACATCTATGTCTTGCTTCTAGGTAAAAAGAGGCAAGGTAGACAGCTCTCCTGCATCTGCTGCTTCTTGTCTTCAGCACAGCAATCCTTCATACGGGAGAAGGTACATTCTGGTCTCCCCCACAGGATAGATGGTTTTGTATATTTTGCTGTATTTAGGTGATACTATAAGATGATCTTCCAGTCTGAGTATTTTAGAAAGTAAATTTCATCTGTGGTCGTTTCCTCGTTCTTCCATCAAGCTACTTTCTTAGTCTAAAGGCCTTACCTTTAATTCCTACTAAGTGTGTATTGCATTTATTTCCCAATTAAGTTCCACACATCCATAAAATACTAGCCGCTGACATTACTAGATCAAAGCAACTCACTAGGGCTGTACACGTCTGAACTCATACATTTTCCCTATCTGTTCTCCGAAACTGGGCCCCACATCTACCACCTGGCATATAAAAAGAGCTTCCTTCTGATCACAAATGCTACACAAAGGTAAAGGCACAGGCGTTGGGATCCAACATTGCTCTCTCAGCTCTACGATTTTCGACAAAATCGCTTATGTTCTTGAGGATGCCTTGCGTGCCAGTGTTGTCCTGAAGGCCCAGGGTACGCTCAGCACAGCAGGCAAGTGAAGGCCCCGCAAGCGGAGACACAAGCCATCCCCCGAGCCTACCGCCCGGCGGAAGTGGGAGTACGTCCATCAGGTCCGTCGTTCCGGTACTCCGCTCGCCAACTTCCGGTGGAGGTGGGCCCGCGTTGCCTAGCGACCTTAGGCGCGGACTGTGGGCAGGCGACAGCGGCGTGTGGATGGAGGCCTCAGTCCCCGGCCGGGCGCGGCGGGGCAGGCGGCGGACCCGGGCCGCTGGCTCCCCGCTCTCTCGGGCCGCCGTCCTCCTCTTTCTTTCCGCCTTCCTCGTGCGGGTGACCGCATCAGGTGAGGGTCCGCGCCGCCCGGCCTGCGCCGCCGGGACAGCCGCAGCTCCCCTCACTCTTCGAATTTGCCTTTTCTTGTGTCACGTGCGTCCGGTTTATATAGAGACACCTTGCTCACTAAACGAGACAAGGAAAGTTTGTTTTGTATAGAAGTCGTTCAGAGACACTCTATTTGCATAGAGAAGTGAATGACGGGAAATTAATGTATAGCTAGATGACTGCATCACCCACAGTTGAGGTTTTCAAATTAAACTGCTTTGTTAATAAACTCCCTGATTAGTCCATGGGTCATCTGCCAGGTTTGCATTTCAGTGTGTGAACTCTGTAATGATGTGTTCGGCGTATTTCAAAGTGAGTAGGCAACCTGCTGCTTTGAATTTATCCGTGATGGTGGAGCACCATCTATTGGTTTTAGCTGTAAAATGTAGGAAATACTCCGATTTTAAAATGACCACTAAAGAATTGAAATACTTTCCTATACTGTTTTAAAAATACCTTTAAGGTACTATGAGCAAACACTGAAGAAGGAAGTGAAGGTTTAATTGAGCTGTTACTTAACTAGAAAGGTTTTTGGCTGCATTATTTTGTGTTCAAATTCTAGACTCATAAAACAAAATATCTCCCAGAATTGATAAAATCACAGAGATTTGCTTCAATTGAACAAAGTTGTTCAAATAAGGAATAATGATAAAAAGAAGTCCTCCAAGAATATAAATGTAAAAGGAATGTGGGGGTAGGCAGGGGATGCGGGAGGAGAGAGGAAGTAAATGAAGCGACTAGGGATTTAAAGATCAAAGTCCAGGCATCAGGAATCCAAAGAGTATCTGAATAGCCGATAGCTATCAATTGCCATGTAGGAGAAAGATGCTCCTCGGATATGATTCATGGTCGTGTAGTAGGTGTGAAAAGGTGTGTTTTTATTTTAAAAATTTACTTGGCGATCTTTTGATTCAATAATGAGATTATACCTATGAGGTATAAGAAATAGTATAAGCAGTTAGTATCTTAATACATAAGTGATGAAAAGTGAAGGCCTCTTATATAGAATTTTACAATTCATACAGTATCCTCATTTTGTACAGTATTCTCATTTTGTACAGTAGCTATAAGGATAGAATTATTATTAGTTCCATTTTGCATATGAGAAAACTAAAGCTCCTGGAGTTTAAAGTGATTTTCCTAAAACCAGTAAGTGGCAGTATTAGGATTTAAACTTACGTCCTCTGGCTTTGAATACCACATCCTTTTCTTTGCACTTTACTATTCCTGTCTGCTGAAGGCTATTTGGGTATAATGCTTAATTGCATTTTTATGCTGCCCCTCACAGCATTATGCCCATCACATTTGCTCATGTAGCAATGAAGACTTTCAAAATAAATTTCACAGTATTTAACGTTTACTATGTGCAAGTTATAGTATTTGATACTGATTCTTGATAAGTTAACATAAACATTGATCCCGCTATCATTGGAGCATGTAATCTGATAAGGAAAATGATATGTGTGCATCAAGAGTTATGGTAAAATGTAAGCCAGTGTCTAGAAGGGTTTTTCTGATGTTATCTTCTAGAATTTTTATAGTTTCGGGTCTTAGATTTAAGCCCTTGATCCATCTTGAGTTTATTTTTATATGAGATGAAAGATGAGGATCCAGTTTCATTCTTCAGTATGTGGCTTTCCTATTAACCAACTCATTTAGGCAAAGATTTCATGACCAAGAATGCAAAGCAAATGCAACAAAAACAAAGACAAATAGGTTGGACTTAATGAAACTAAAGAGCTTTGCAATGCAAAAGGAACAGTCACAGTATAGACAACCCACAGAATGGGAGAAAATCTTCACCATCTTTACATGTAATGAAGGACTAACATCCAGCATCTACAAGGAGCTCAAACAAATTAGCAAGAAAAACAAACAATCCCATAAAAAATGGGCTAAGGACATGAATAGACAATTCTCAAAAGAAGATTTACAAATTGCCAAGAATCATATGATAAAATGCTCAACATCACTAATTATCAGGGGAATGCAAATCAAAACCACGATGTGATATCACCTAACTCCTGCAAGAATGGCCATAATAATAATAAAAAAAAAGATGTTGGTGTGGATGCAGTGAAACGGGAACACTTATACACTGCTAGTAGGAATGTAAACTAGTACAACCACTATGGAAAATCGTGGAGAGTCTTTAAAGAACTGAAAGTAGAACTGCCACTGGATCCAGCAATCCAACCACTGGGTATCTACCCATAGGAAAATAAATCATTATATGAAAAAGATACATGCACACACGTTTATAGTGGCAGAATTCGCAATTGCAAAAACATGGAACCAGCCCAAATGCACATCAATCAACAAGTGGATAAAGAAACTGTGGTGTATGTATGTATGTATGTATATATATGTGTGTGTGTGTGTGTGTGTGTGTGTATATATATATATATATATAATAATGGAATACTACTCAACTATAAAAAGGAGTGAATTAATGGCATTTGTAGCCACCTGGATGGGATTGGAGACTATTATTCTAAGTGAAGTAAATCAGGAATGGAAAACCAAACATCATATATTATCATTTATAAGTGGGAACTAAGCTATGAGGATACAAAGGCATAAGAATGATACAATGGTCTTTGGGGCCTTGGGTGTGGGGAAAATGGTGGAAAGTGGGTGAGGGATAAAAGGCTACAAATTGGGTTTAGTGTTTATTATGTGATGGGTGCACCAAATCTCAAAAATCCTCACTAACGAATTTATGTAACCAAATACCACCTGTTCTGGCAAACCTATGGAAATTTTAAAAAAAGAACTATTGTACTATAGTGCAATGTAGAATGAATGTTATTTAAAAAGATGCTGGTGGTGTACTGTGGCAGGTAAGAAGTGCTAAGGATAAATAGGAGGTTTTAAGGAGAAGGGACTTGTAATTTGGCTCTTGAATGATGGGAGATTTGAACTTTTAATAATGTAGAGAGTACTCTAAGTGGATTTAGAAAAAGAGGTAAGATGTAGGGAGAAACAACAGGTAGATTAATTTTATCAGATAGTATCAGGGGAATAGAGTTAGAATAGTGATAACAACTGTCAGAGGAGACTGAATTATGGCTCTCCCCTTCAACTAAGACGAAAGATATTGTGATACTGTACTTGAATATTTTTGAATATCTAATGAGACAAATTGTTGATCTTTTTTTTGATAGTTGGGTATTTGGTTCGATTACCGAGAAGCTTTCGCTTGACCAAAGATTCAGTGAAAATAGTGGGATCAACAAATTTCCCAGGTATTCATAAATATATTTTCACTAATTTAAAAAAAGTTATTAGCATTTGTTTAAATGTTATCAGAGTTGTCCAAAAGGCTAATGTTCTTCAGTTATCCTAGTCTCCTAAGGCCCTTTTCTTTCTGCAGAAGTAGATTAAAGTTGTTTGCATATGGCTAGACTCATCCAGTTATAATACTTTTTGCTATAACTGCTTAAGTGTACCAATAATAATTATTTCTAAAAGTTATCTAAAGTTGCCTGTACTGGATTTTTATTATATAATAATTAGCTGTAATATTAAATATATGTAGTACAAATATGGTAATACAAATCATACATATTTTGGATTCAAAGATTTGCAGTCGTCACATGAAATATAGCAACTACAACTTGTTTTGGTGTTTTTTAAAGTTGTGGCAAATTCACATGCCATAAAATTCTTCCTTTTAAGTGTACAATTCAGTTGCTTTTAGTATATTGACAAGATTGGGCAACCATTACCTCTATCTAATTTTACAACATTTTCATCACCCCAAAAAGAAAGACCTAATCCATTATGCAATCATTCTTCAGTCCTGGAAATCACTGATCTCCTTTCTGTCTCTATAGGTTTGCCTCTTCCGGAAATTTCATATAAATGGAATCATATACAATGTGCCCTTTTGTGTCTGTCTTTCACTTAGTATAATGTTTTTGAGGTTCAGCCATATTATAGAGTACATCAATACTTCATTCCTTTTTAGGGTGTAATAGTATTCATTTCTTTACCTAACAGTACATATGGGACATATGGTAACTCTATGTTTAATATTTTGAGGAGTTGCCAAACTATTTTTTTAAAAACTTGAGTTATTTTACTTTCACACCAGCAATGTATAAGAGTTCAAATTTTCCAAATACTAAACATCGTTATTGTTGTTCATCTTCTTTTTTTTATAGCTATCTTAGTATGTGTAAACTGGTATCATTGTGATTTTGATTTGCATTTCTCTAATGACTAATGATGTTGTAACCCTTCGTGTGTTTTGTGACTATATAGATATGTCATTTGCAGAAATGCCTATTCAAGTCCTTTGCGCATTTTTAAATTGGGTGGTTTTCAGCTGGGTGTGGTGGCTCATGCCTGTAATGCCAGCACTTTGGGAGATGGAGGCAGGCAGATCACAAAGTCAGGAGTTTGAGACCAGCCTGACCAACATGGTGAAACCCTGTTTCTACTAAAAGTACAAAAAATTAGCTGGGTGTGGTGGTGTGCACCTGTAATCCCAGCTACTTGGGAGGTTGAAGGCAGGAGAATCACTTGAAGTTGGGAGGTGGAGACTGCAGTGAGCCGAGATCACACCATTGTACTGCAGCCTGGGTGACAGAGCGAGACTCCATCTCAAAAATAAATTAAAAAATTGGGTGGTTTTTGTTTTGTTGTTGAATTGTAAAGTTCTTTATATATTCTTTATATCAGATATATGATTTGCAAATATTTTTCCCATTCTGTGGATTGTGTTTTCAGTTTCTTTGTGTGTTCCTTGAAGCCTGTGTTTTAAACTTCGATAAAGAAGTCTAATTTCTATTTTTTGTTTGGTGCAGGTGCTTCAGGTATCATGTCTAAGAAATTATTGCCTAATGATTAGTCACAAAGTGTTATTCCTATGTTTCTTTATAAGAGTGTTGCAGTTTTAACTCTGATATTTAGGCCTCTGATCTATTTTGAGTTAATTTTTGCATATGGTGCAAGGTAGAGGTCAAACTCATTGTTTAGCACATGGCTATCCAGTTGTTTTATCACCATTTGTTGAAGAGATTATTCTTTCTCTTTTGAATTGGCTTGGTACATACTGAAAAGCGATTGGCCCCAGATGTATGAGTTTATTTTTGGACTTTAAATTCTATACCATTGATTTATGTATCTATTCTTATGCCGATACTTTGCTATCTTGATTATTGTTGCTTATAATAAGTTTTCAAATCAGTAAGTGTGAGTCCTTCAAATTTGTTCTTTTCAAGATTGCTTTGTCTTCTCTGGGTCCCTTGCAATTCTATATTAATTCTATAATCAACTTGTCAATTCCTGCAAAACAGTCTGTTGAGATTTTAACAGAAATTTCAATGAATCTGTAGATCAATTTTAGGCATATTGTCACCTTAACAATATTAAGTCTTCCAGTTAATGAACTTGGGGTGTCTTTCCATTATTTCCGTTTATTTAATCTTTAATTTCCCTCGATTATATTTTGTAGTTTTCAGTGTACAAGTGTTACATTTCTTCTGTTAAATTTGCTCCTAAATATTTTATTATTTTCAATGCTGTTGTAAATGGAATGGTTTTATTTAGTTAGTTTTTGGAATGTTCATTGCTAGCATATAGAAACGCAATTGATATTTTCGTATTGCTAGAAACACAATTCATATTTTCATTGATATTGTATAAAACTGATATCAGTTTTTCACATTAAGTTTGATGTTAACTGTGGGTTTTAGGGAGTTCCCTTTAATTCCTAGTTTGTTGAGTACTTTTATTGTGAAAGGGGTTGAATTTTGCTAAATGATTTTTCTATATGTATGATGATGATAATGTGTCTTTTGTTCTTTATCCTCTTAATATGATGTATCACATTGATTTTTGTATTTTGAACTTGGTTTGCATTCCTGGGATAAATTCCAGTTGATTATTGTGTATAATCCTTTCTTATGTTGCTGGATTGGTTGCTGGTATTTTTAGGATTTTTTTTATGGTTATGTTTGTTAGGAAAATCGATCTGTAAATTTCTTGTGATGCCTTTGATTTTGGTTTTAAGCTAATACTGGTTTCATAGAACAAGTTGGTATGTATTACATTCTCCTTTATCTTTTGGAAGAGTTTGTGAAGGATTGTTGTTAATTCTGTTAATTGTTTGGTAAAATTCACCAGTGAATTCATTTATTGCTGGACTTTTCTTTGTAGGAGGTTTCTTGATTATCAATTTAATCACTCCTTTTAGGACTATTCAGACTTTCCTTTTCATTATGACTTTTTTATGAGAAATAAACTATTAATCAAAGGTTACTTGTGTGTGATAAGTTGCTTCTTTCTTGCAACTTTCAAGATTATCTCCCTGCTTATGGATTTTGTCAGTTTGATTATGATGTGCCTGGCTATGGATTTCCTTTAGTTTATCATAGCTGGAGTTAATTGAGATTCTTGGATATGTGGATTCATGTTTTCAATCAAATTTGAGATTTTTGCCATTATTTCAAAAAAATTCTTTTTATCTCTCTTCCCTCTTTTGAGACTGTGATTATGCATACACTGATATGCTTGATGGTTTTTCACAGGTCTCTGAATTATTGATCTTTATTCTTTTTTTCTTCTTTTTCTCAGACTGGATAATCCAATGTTGACCTGTCTTCAAGTGTGCTGATTCTTCTGCCTTCTCAGTTTGCTACTGATTTCTTCTAGTTAATTTCTCATTTCAGTTATTGTACTTTTTAATCTGCAGTTTATTAATAAATAATTTTTATATCTTTACTGATATTTCCTGTGTGGAATATCATACATTTTTATTACTTTAGACATGGTTTTCTTTGATAAAATATAAAATATGTAACTTAAAATCTTTATCCAGTAAGTCCAATATTTGGTCTTCCTCTAACATTTGGCCTTCCTTGGAGTCTGTTTCAGTGGGCTGCCTTTTTTTATGCATATGGCCATATTTTCTTGGTTTTCTGCATGTCTCATATTTTTAGTTGAAAACTTGACATTTACAATAATACGACATAGCAACACTGAAAATAAGATTCTTTCTACTTCCCAGGGTGTGATGTTGTTGCTGTTTGCTGATATTGTGTATTTGTTCAGTGACTTTCTAAACTAATTCTCTAAGTTGTATATTCTTTATCACATAGCCACTGAAGTCTCTGCATAATTAGCTTAGTTAGGCTATTGATTGGACAGAGTTTTCATTAAACATCTTGAACCAGTTAGTGTCCTAGCCTTTGCTGAGGTTGTCTTTGTGCATATTGTAGCATACCTTTTAGATAGTTGGCCACTCGACCTTATCTTTCACTTTATGCTGTTGCAGAACCTCAAATTCAGCCAAAGATGAGAACTTAAGGCCTCTTCATCTTTACTGAGCATACAGATTATCCTGGGCATGCACACAATCCTTTACCTGCGTGTGGCCTGGTATTTTTTTAGGAATGTTCAGAACAATTCAAAGTTCCTGTGGACATGCCATTCCCCAGCTTTTCCTCTTAAGGTTTTTGGTTAGGCTATTGTTTTCCCCATTTGTTACTCACTGTATCAGCAGGCAGTCACAAAGTTAAATGAGGGCCTCTAATTGTTTGTAACGAGTTATTTTGGGGAAAGGCATTTTGCAATAGGCAAAGTCCAAGTCAGATCAAGTATGGACAGCCTTTAAAGTGAGATCTTTTGGGATATTGACTCACAGGTCACATACTGACAGTACTCTGGGAAGGAGGCTTTGAAGACATTCTAACCATGCCTACCCCCATCATTGGCTGCCAGGCCGCTGGTTCTCACTGTGATTGTAGACTGCTGATTGTCAAAGCTCCTTACTGCAGAGCTGAGGAAGGAGGCGTGGGAATCAGGCAAGTAAAGATGCCACAAACTCACTGTTCCTACCGATTGTATTAGTTCCTTAGGGATGCTGTAACAAAAGAACCACAGACAGCGTGGCTTAAATTATAGAAATTATTGTCTTATAGTTCTAGAGGCTAGAAATAAAAATCAAAGTCTTGGCAGGGTTGGATTCTTCTGAAGGCTTTGAAGAAAGGATCTGTTCCAGATATTTGTCTTTGGGTTTTAGGTTGCCATCTTTTCCCTATGACTCTGTGTTCTCTTTTCTCTGTATTTGTCTGTGTTTCCAAATTTCCCCCTTTTATAAGAACATCAGTAATATTGTATTTGGACCCAGTCTGATGACTTCATTTTAACCTGACTTCCTCAGTAAAAACTATTTCCAAATAAATTTATATTCTGAGGTACTGGAGATCACAACTTCAACATATTAATAAGAGAGGGAGGACACAATCAACCCATAAACCAGATCCAGTTGTTTTTCTTGAATAAATGTTTTCTGGATTACTGTATTTGGTTAATTTTGAGTTTGAGTTCTGGAAATATTTATTCTGATAATTTCTACATTTTTCCTCATTACTTTTGTGAAGGAGATAATTTTTAGAATTCCTTATTTTGCCATTTTTATTGATCTCCCCAGTGACAACTTTTAAACCTGAATTATAAAACATTATCTGGATAACTAATTTCCCATTTATTCTATAATATTAAACTTATTCTTAAAATAGATTAACATTCCAGTTCACTAGGTAGTTCTTATATTACAGAGTAGATTATTATATGATATTTCATTGGTTTTGGCCTGTAATATACCAACTACGTGATTTTTCTTCTGTCTACAATTTCTTCTGTCATATAAGATCTTGGCATCTGTCTGTGTTGGCCGTTTTTCAGTTTTGTGACCCTCTCTTTAACTCGTTCACCTTTTGCGTATTTTTTTCAGTTGTTAGTTTTCCATAATCATTAACTCATGTATTAATTAATTCACTGAGCTTTTATTTACATTTTGTTGCACTTTTAGTTATTCCATTTTTTGGTGTATATAATAAATGCCATTTTGTATATGATTTTTGTACCTGATCAGAAGTTTTCTGGGTCTGTGTTATCCAGGAGTAGAAATTTTAGCATCATAGGACCTGAGCATTCTCAATCTCACTAACATTGCTCTTCAAAACAGCTGCACCAGTTCAAACTTCCTTCAGTGGTGCTTGAGGGGGTCCCATTTTCCCACATCCTTATCAGCACAAAATTTTACCCAATTTTGTCCATTTTCTGCTAAGCTGAATATTAAATTGCCTCTGCCTATTCTTTTCTTGGCTGTTTTCAAAGAAGTTGTCTTTCATATTGTTTATATTCCAGTTACAAATACATTATTATCTTTGTTGCAAATATCATCTCCCTACAGTCAAATTTAACTTTGCCTGTGTTATATAGAATCGAACAGAAATTGTTACCATTTCAGAAGTTGAGTTCAGTATTTTTATATTTGTGCTTTTTGCATTAAAGTAATTTTCTATAACTGGTTCAGACATAAAGGTATTATTTTCTTTAAATAATGATTTGCCTTCAAGTATTCAGTATTTTTGGAATTTATTTTTGTATATGGTAGGAGGTGTAAATCTAAATTTAACTTTGCATGTATTTTGAGATACTTTTAACAATAATTTATTAATGATATATATTTTCTCCACTGATTTTAGGTACCACGTCTATCACATACATATCAGTTATTTATACCAATTTGTTTTTTTTTTCCCTAGACCCATTATTTGTTCCTACACCAGACCTCTCTTTTTTTATTTTGTGTATATTTTAGTATATCTCAGTAACTCTTATTGCTAGTCCCTCCTCTTTGCTTTTCTGTTATAGAATTGTTTCAGATATTTAGGAAGCTTTAACCTTCCAAATGCATTTTAGAATCAGTATTCAAGAGCTTCCTAAAAATTTTCTTCTGGGATTTTAAATAAGTAAATTTTGGAGTAAATGGACATCTTTAAAGTTGTGTGTATGCAATCCTGATTATGGCATTGTGGTCTAATTCTATGTCTTTTGCTAGAGTCTAAAGATGTTCCTCACAGAGGTCTTGTTTGATTTTAGAGTAACTTTTGTTTATTGTACTCTAAATATTATCTTCTTTCCTGTAACATGGTTTAATGCCTTATTGTTGATGTAGAAGAATATCATTTGTTTTTGGAAACTCTTCTGTATTCATTTACATTTGCTGTGAAATATGCACAGGGATTAGTGGGGGCAAGAGGAAGGGTACAGCCATGGTATGAGGTACTGTCAAGCCAAAGCACAAAGGATATACTTATGCTGAGTTTCCAAAGATGAGGGGGCATTTACATCAATAAAATCAGAAAAGAATGATGCTGTGTGCTGCTCTGGCATGGTTAGGGCAGAGGGTGTGAGATATATGCAAAGGACAGATCATGGAGAATAGGTCCAGTAAATCATGCTGGGGAGTGAAAATTTATGATGTAAGCATTTATTAAAGGAGTTATTAAAGAAGTTAGGCAATCTATTAATGCAAGCATTTCATTAAAGTATTCGAAAAGAAAAAAGATCATCACAGTGCGCATAAAAAAAGTTTCTTAAAATTCAGTACTGATTTATGTTTATGATTAAAAACAAATAACCAACATCAGAGGTGATATTTCTTAACCTGTGGAAGAATACGTAACTAAAAGTATATCCAACAAACATTATTCTTTGTGGTAAAACTTTAGAGGAAGTCTCTTAAAAGTTAAAGAGAATTTTGATTCTCTTTATTTTACTGGATCACAAAAATCTTCGTATACAGTTAATCAGTGAAGAGTTGGCATGCAGTGTCTAAAGGGTTGTTGCAAACTTTCCTAAAAGATTACTTGTGGGTAAATTCAAAACAATGGAATCTTTACTGGGTTCCTTTTGTATCTCCTAAAGGTTCTAGTTTTGCTTACGTTTCAGGACTTAAATTTTAAAGCAAATGGAACAAAATGCTTTAACATTTAAAATCAAAGCATAAATCAGCTGACTTTTTAATCACGTTATCATTTTTATTCAGTAGGTTGTACTATATCATTATGAATAATGCATTATTCCACTAATCTAAACAATTTATAAGCTCTAATCATGTTTGGTGTCTTTAGAAAACAGATAAAGTATAGATGTAGAATTATCTTAATACTTTGTTACTGAAATAATATTCTGATCATAAAACAGGTTAGAGTACATGAGCTCTGAATGAAAATGACTTACACATTATGCTCGGGTTGGGAATAAATGTACATACACACATGCATACACATATATACATATAAATACATATATTTTTAATGTTAATTACATAGAATGCAATGAAATTTAGTTTTTATCAAGTGATAGGAGCAATAATTCAAAGTACTCTTATTATTGCATGTAAACCAAACTAAAAAAGTGTGCATTATAGAGAAAAAAAAGAACATAAAATACTACTGGAACATTTTAAATATTGTATTTTCAGTGAAAGTATATGTCATGCTCCATCAAAAAAGTCCACATGTGTTATGTGTAACGCAACGACTACGAAATGCTGAACTGATAGACCCATCATTCCAGTGGCATGGGCCGAAAGGAAAAGTTATTTCAGGTAGGATTTCGTTTCAGTTATTATTATTAAGTAGATGTATCTGACCTGTGTGTAACACAGAGGGAATGTTTGTATCATACACATTTATGTTATTTCCTCAGTTCTTTTTCTTGTGATTTCCTTTTGGAGTTAGATCTAACAGTGTAGTTGGTGTTCCCATTTTTACATATTTTATTTTGATACAGAGTCATACTCTAAGATTGAACTGTTTGGAGACGACTCAAAACATCTATAATCCCCAAAAGGTACTTTTTTTTTTTTTTTTTACTTAGAAATTACTGTTTGTACAACTGATTTGATCAATATTTTCTCTATTCAACTTCTTATTTTTAATACTGAAATACAGATTTTACTTTTATTCTCATTTTTTAATTGGATAAAAGCTGATTTTTAACACTGTAGTTTTAAAAAACTACAGTTAACTTAGCTGGCTTTGTTTCTAGCCTTGCAAAAAATATAGATTAATGAGTTTTCATTTTGAAGATTTGTTCAGGCATTTTTGCATACCCTCAGACAAAGTTTTTCTTTATTGGTCTATTTACCATGTTTTCTTTTCTTTCTTTTAAAAAATCTTATTGGTATTTTGAGATAGTGCCTGTGGACAAAAACTTACAGGATTATTTTATTTTTTTGGATAAAGGAGAGCAATATATTTATACAAGGACTTGAGAAAGAAAATAGGAAATACTTATTTTTTAATATGTTTTAATTCATATTTATGTAGTTAAGAGAGCTCAGCTGTACATTTCTGTGATTTTTATGTTGATTCTAAAATAGGTCATTTTAAAGAGTTAATCAATTTAGGTCAGTCTGTGTTTTTCTTAGGACAAATTATCCATCATTCATTTGTAAGTGACTACTTGGTGGAAGCCTCTGTGGTGGGTTTCATGGGGAAGAGAAAGGTCAGACATAACCTCTGCCTCATTACACTAGCAAAGTAGGAATGATTGTACAATTTGTTCTTGGGATCAGCAGGGCTCAATAACAGAAATTCTAATAGGTTTTGCAGTTTGTATAAACCAGAGAAGTGGTCCAGGTATAAAAGCAACCAATACTGGAAATAAAATCAAATTTTATTTCTATTGTTCTCTAATAGTAGCACATAATGTAATAGAAACATGTATTTTGAATATGTTTTATATTTTATATTGAAACTCTGCACGTTGAAAAATAGAATCATTTAAGCATTGAATTTTTCTATTGTCATTTGTTGCTTCTTTGATTTGGAAATTGAAATTTGAAATTGTTTCTTCTCCAGGATGCCATGCCAGGTCTTGCAGTTTATATTGCAAAATATAGTATGTAATTCAATTTATCCTTTAAGTAGGAGCAATATTTATCTTACTGACTCTTATAATAGAAAAATAGGTATTCATAAATGTAGTTATTTCTAGGTAAAGATACAATCCTGTTACTACATTGGTTTTTACTTTTACAAAAACTATTCTCAGGGAATTCTGATATTTTAACTTTATGATTATATTATAGTTTTCAATACAGTATTTTATCATAGGTCACTGCCTACCAGTTGTAAAGCTTATTAAGAACACTATACTTTTTATTTCCGAAAGGACTGGAAAAAGGTCTCATTTCTTAAAGTTTGAAGGACAGAGAAGGTTTTTGGACTAGTTTAACCTACATTGTACTTATCATTTTATGAATATCCAAAGATAGTTTCCCTTAATTTGAGCCAAATAAATCATGTAATTATGTGATTACTTGTACATTCCTTTGGAGAAAATATTCAAGTTGTTTAGATGTGTTGTGAAGCGTAGGGAGTAAGTCTTAGATTTGGTGTCTCCATCTCTTTTTCTTTGTTTCTTTTTCAGTATTGTTTATTTACAAAGGTAATTGCATTTATTGCAACAACTTCTGTACCTCCCACTCTGACTCTAATACTATTCTGATGAATTAACTCTTTTTGGTGTGTGGACTTTCCTACTTTTCTAAATATTCACACAAACATGTAAAAGCACAAACAAATGTGTTTAGTGTTCCCCTGTAACCTGTCACTTATTATTTTTTAATAAGATCATAGTTTATAACTATGAAGCACCCGATGTACAAATGTATGTCAGGTATATGCAAGTTATGAAGCACAGTAAAGCAAACATCCTTGAACTTACTATACAAGTTAAGATGCATTATTACCAACATATTGGACCTCCCAATAAGCGGTTTTAAAATCCCATACTTCTGTTCCCAACCCCTCTCAGGTAAATACTATCCTCAATGTTTACAGTATTACTCTTTTGCTTTTCTCTATGCATTTACCACGTATATACAAACACATACACTTATGTGTGTGTTCTGAAGCTATATATTTTAGTTTCGTTATTTTGAATTTTTCTCACATTTTTCTTTTTACCAGCTTCATTGATAGTATGATTGACAAAAAAATTATATATTTAAGGTATACAATGTAATATTTTGAGGTAGATATTCAATGTGAAATGATTACTTCGTCAAACTAGTAACATATCAGTCACCTCACATAGTTGCCATTTTTGTGTGTGTGGTGAGAACACTTGAGATTTACCCTTGTAAAATTTCAAGTATACAGTGCATTTATTGTTAACCGTATTTACCAATCTGCACATTAGGTCTCCTGAACCTATTCATCTTCTAGCTGAAATTTGGTACCCTTGAACTAAGAACCGCAGGTCCCCAATCCCCCAGTCTCTGGTAACTACCATTCTGCCCTATATTTGTGGTAGGGTAGAGTGTGAGTTTGACTTTTGTATGACTGTGACTTTTGTAGATTCCACATAATAAGCGAGGTCATGTATATATGTCTTTCAGTGTCTTCCTTATTTTACTAAGCATAATGAATTTTATAAAAATAATAATAAATACAATATTAACATGTGTCATATTATTCCAAACATTGTATGCATGTTAATTTTAACAATGACCTTTTGCAGTAATTACAGCCATTTTCTCCATTTTATAAATGGAAAAACAAAGGCATTAAGATGAAAAGATACTTTATAAAGTCATATGTCTTTGAAGTCTTGTATCAGAGTTCATAGATATAATCTCAATGAGGTAGGAACACACCATTTTATGAATTTTGTTTTGGTAGTTTGTATCTTTCAAGGAATTTGTCCAACATTGGATTTTTAAATGTATTGTATTTATATATATAAAAATTTTGTAATATTTTGTGTTATCTTTTTATAGATGACAGATTTCTGATTTTCAGGATCTATAGTGATGTGTCCTCATTCACTCCTGATGTTGGCTCTCTCTCTCTCTCTCTCTCTCTCTCTCTCTTTTGTTTTCTCTTGCTATGTGTTTAACAATTTTATCAGTCTTTTAAACGAACCAGCTTTGGGTTTCATTGAATTTTTCCATATTTTTCTGTTTTCCAAGTATTGCTTTTGGATTTTATATTTATTATTTTCTTTCTTTTGATTGCTTTGGGTTTCATTTACTTGTCTTTTTCTTTTGCTGGTTGTAGAATTCTGGGTTGGCAGTTTTTTCTTTGAACATTTGAAAGATGGAACTCTGTATTGCTTGTATAATTTCTAATGACAAGTCTACTGAAGTTCTTATCTTTCTCCCTCTGTGGGCAATGTGTCATTTTTTTCTGACTTGATAAGATTTTCTCCTTGCTTTTTATTTTCAGCAATTTGAGTATTATGTATATCTATTTTGATTGGTTGGTTTTTGTATTTATTCTGCTTGGTATTCTCTAAACTTTCTGAAATTATAGTTTGGTGCCTGTCAGTTTTCAGAAATTCTCAGCTATTACATGTTCTAACATTTCTTCTTCCCCATTTTATGTCTTTCCAAGATTCCCATTGTACTTACATAACACTGTTTGATTTCATAGCTCTTGGGTTTTTTCTTCTTCTTCTTTCCCCCCCTTCTATTTTTACTGCATGTTAGGTAATTTCTTTTGACCTAACTTCAAGTTCGTTAATTCTTTTCTTGATGGTGTCCCCCTATTTTTGAGCCCATTGAAGGAATACTTTATCTGTGTTACTGAGTTGTTTTTTTTTTGCTTTTAGTTTTAATATTTACATTTAATTATTTATATAGTTTCAGTCTCTGCTGAAACCACCTATCTGATCTTGCATGTTGTCTGTCTTTTAATAAATCTTTTGTCATATTACTCATAGTTATTTTAAATGAACTAAACTGTCTGATACTTCATACATCTGTACCATATAAGAGCCTGGTCCCTGGGCTTTGCTTTGTATCTTGACAATGTGCTGTTTATTGCCTTTTTGTATGCCTTCTAACTTTTAAAATTGGACATCTTGAATAGGACAGTAAATATTGAAGAAAGTATTTCAGTGCTTTGAGATGAGTTTTTTTTTTTTTGTTTTTTGTTTTGTTTTTTTCTGTTAGGCCTTTAGTGTTAGGGATTTGTATCTAATAAAGACTTGTCTGGCTTTGATGTTGGTTTTTATATTCGGTGCACTGAATGCTTCAAAAAGTCTCTGAAATGTTTAGGCGTAGTCTCGTTCATTTGGAGTTTTTTCCAATGTGTAATTTTCTCTTGGCTTTGGTTTCTCCTTTTATGCTGTTCCCTAGAGTTTCCTAGAGGTATATTTAAAAATATAGCATATGTACTCTTCAAAATAAAAAAAAAAATTAAGATGGTACTTCTACCTTCTCTAGATCTTAGCTTGATTATCTAAAAATACAGAGTTGGATTAAGTCTCTACAAGTCTATGCCTTAGAGTTCTAAACTTATATATAACAAAACTTAAGCATAATTTTATTACAGATTGTTATTTTTACAAATAAGTTTATGCTTTTGCAGCTTTTCTAGCTTTATTTCATTTCTCTTGTAGGTCTGCCAGCTTTATTCCACTGCTATATTTAGTAAACTCTTGTTAGTGGTATGGAGTTTGGAAAGTGGAACATTCTCTGATGTTCTGATTAAGCTTTGTTCTTTGGCAGGCATAGTGTCCCTGTGTGATGGTGTATGACCTTCACAATTACTCTGTCTCTTCCTCCAGCTTTAGTTTTGGCCTAGCATGTCT